ATTCTAAACTAACACGAGTCTCATATGTGTCTAGTTTAAGGGTATTACACAGAAACACACCACAATAACATGAATCAAATATGTATTTTATTCATTTACAATAAATGTCATAATGTACATCAATCTGATTGAAGCTAAGGGCATACACTATCTAACAAGTATACCTTGCTAAGTGATGGAAGATGATTCATTCCAATGATGTTATCGTGAATGGTGTTGAATTGATCACCAAGCCCCATAAAGAATTGTTAGACACGATCCCTTTCACCTTCTGTGACAAGATCTTTAGCCATATGGTAGGAACAACAAGAACAAATTGGTGTTGGTGCACAAGCTTCAAGTTCATCCCAAACTTTCAGCTTGGTGTAGTAAATTGAGACAGATTATTCTGTTTGAGCAGTGCTAGCTCCTGCTTTAGTTGAAAGATACGAGGTTCATTTCCTTGTGAGAATCGCTCCTCCAAGACCAACCAGATTGCCCGAGCATCATCCATGTAAGTGACACTATCATGCAGTTCCTTAGCCAAAGCGTTGTAAATCCAAGAAATGACCATTGAGTTGCATTTCTTCCAGGCAAGATGCTCTATTTTCTTGGCTGGATCTGGTTTCAGGATCGTGCCATCAACGAATGCTATTTTATTCTTTGCCCAGAGCGCATTGATTATCGCTCTCCTCCATGTTGGATAGTTCTCACCGGTTAATGGTGACGAAATGAGAAACTCCGGGATTATCAGAGGAATTAAGGAAATACGGAGAAGAAGAATCAGACATTATCAGCCGCACTACCAATACTTGCTTCAGCCATCAGCCACTATCTTGCGAAGTTACCAAAAAAACGAAGAGACCGAGTTAAAGAGAGAAAACACAAGGAGACACCAAGGATCTAAGCGAACCTGACATAACAGAGACCCAACTAAGATCTTTAACAAACTCCATGTGGAGTTAATAAATATGTTTGCAGCTTTCATCACGGCTTGCTCACTAACCCATATTCTTCAGCCGTTCAGGTGCTGTCACGCGGTTAATTGATAATTTCCCATAGAGATGTATTATTGTTCCTACCTACATGCTTCACAGGTTACACATGTTAATTAATGACTTGCTAATTTATGAATCCATCTGTCAAACACTGGGCCACCTTTTGATTTTAATGGATTAGGTATCTCCAACCAACTATTTTTGTGCAACATCAAATTGAATCAACTGAGTCCACCTCCATGGCAGTTCGATGTTTCAACAGTTCAACCTGGTTCTGTCATTCTTGGCTGCAGAATCGTGGCGGCAGCCAAAGACCAAAAGTTGGATGTTTCAACCTGGTCAAGCGAACCTCCATTTTGCTTGTTAGGCCTAGGAGTTTTTGCTTTCTGAACAATCTCATAGGATAACTCACGTTATAGCACAAGAAATACATAATTTCATTTATTCTCCACGCATTTTCCAGACCAACAATGGAGGAACTCTCATGGGTGAGAGATTTCTTATCTGATCACCACTCTTCGCATAATGATTCCCCTGCAAGTTTTAGCTTTAGCCATGGAATTATATTATTTTTCCCTGCCTTAAAGAGGGCAAAATTTGTTCCTTTGCTGGGTCATTTATCTGGATTCTGTGGTTGTGATTTACTACTATCAGAACCTTGGTCCTCTAATTCCTTCCATTATGAGAAAACTACAGCAAAAGATGCCAAATTGATAAGAAGAAGAAGAAGCATACTAATGATACTAGAACAGATGAAGCATACTAATGATACTAGAACAGATGAAGCATACAGTTATTTCACACAAACTAAACTGATGTGCAAGACATCCATGACACTCCAAGTACAATAACAACAACGGCCAAGAGCAAACACTGTTTGCTTTATTTAGGGCAGTTTATTGGTTGGCCAAGACACAAGACCATATTCACTTAATCAACGAACAAACTTAACTGCATAAACCATCATCAAACAGCGTCACCCAATTATTCGCAGAAAGATCAACTAGCTAGTGCAGACCGCAGAGCTAGGCATTCTTGCTTCCCAGGAACCATCATGGGGTGGGTGCCACTTTCTCCCTCTGCTTTCTCTCCCATGCCCAGAGCCGTATTTCCATTTGCATCAATCTTGCAAGCAATGGCTTCAAAGATTAAACCCATCACCTCCTGGAACCTCTCTTCAGAGAGAGACACCTCTGCGAGGAGCCTCCAAGCATTTTCCTCGGATGCTTCTTCATAGTCCTGTTTCCTTTTCAACACCATGTGCCCACTAATTTCCCATACAGCCGGGTTCACTTGGGTGTCCAGAAGCTCTGGGCTTACTTCCCCAAGAGCCTGTTTCTCGGCATAGCACTGTGTATTTGTTCCAAGCAAGAAGGTAGAACAAAATGACAGATAAAATTTGTTAGAGAAGATATCAATGGAGCAAAAGACACATTTACGACTGATCATCGACTGAACCAAAGTCATATTAGAAATAAATACAAGGGTGGCAAATTTTGTTACCTGAGGGAAGAGGAAGATCAGCTTCCCGGAATCAGAGATAAGGACATTGTAAGGAATGTTGTTGTCTTGAAGGCAAATGCAGGAGTCTGATACGGCATTTGATAAATTGATCAGAGTATTTCCGCCCTCGAACACAAGACCCCTGACCGGATAATTTGACAGTTCAGAGATCTTCACGCCCTCATCAGTTGTGGTAATTCTTCGGGTAGGAGCCTTCTCAATGGGAAACGGCACAGCCAAATAGTAAGCCTGTAACCATAGAACAAGAGGGCTTACAGTTAAAGGGTAACATAAACAACCACAACCAAAACTTGAACTACTAATCCAGTGTAAGATGAACAGAGTTGAAGCAAGCAAGGACAAGGACCTGGAAGTGAAGGTGATTGATGGTCGCAAATGCACCCAAACTGTTGTAACCCAACCTGAAGTATGGGTTCCCTGCTTCTGCTGCCATATGGAGGGCAAGCAAGAAGCTCTCGCGATCAATCCTTTGTGGCAAGCAGTCGAGAATCCGCGGGATTAGCAGTACATGCCCATACTCAATTGGGCTCACCTGTTTTAAAATCAAAGTAGAAGTTAGAACAGAAATCAAGGTTATCTCAAACTCTGTAAATCACCATCTAATTATCACAACAAAGGAATGGAAGGAGACTCGGGGTATCTGCTTACGTTAATTGCTACAACGCTGGGGGAGTCGCCAACGTCAATTGGAGCGTAGGGGAAGAAATTAGCCTCATCGTCATCACTGGCTCCGAATTGGAAGAGCACCTCCTCCTGCCCGACTTTTGTGAAGTTGAATTTGTTGGCATCGAAGGGCTGGAGGACCTTGTCGACTCGGAATTCTGTAGGGCGCTTCTTAAGGTGGCGTCCCTCGTTCAGCTGGGCAATGAATCCGTACTCTCCCGGGATCACCTGCAGAGATATTAGCAAAAGAAATCGGGGGTAGAACCCATATCCCCAATTGGACAAAACACTCTGCTGCAACCCTGAGGTCACATGTTTCGATCCTAACTTACCTACAGATAAAACCTAAAACAGAACTAGTGAATGAAGAAAAGAATCAATGGAAAGAACAGAGATGAAACCTTGGTTTCGCAAGCAGTCACGTCATATCGAAAGAGCCCTCTCTGCATGCGATCCTCCCACTGCGATCAAGGAGTAACAGTTGTTGAGGAAACAACAGAAGAAGCAGAAGAAAGATTTTTATGAAGAAAATGTACCTCTCCAAGAACGAGGGAGTCCAAAAAGGCAACGGGTGGCTCTTTCTTCTCATCACCGATCAAGTCCTTCTCATTGACGTTCTTGTTCACGCTCTTGAAAGTATACAAAGGGAGCCTTGCCCCTGATCAGACATTCAGACCCAACCAAAGAAAACCCAGTGAAAAACCAAGCTCATACACTCCATGGAGAAACATACTTAAGGTTGAAGAAAGACAAAAGTGCAGAGCTAAAAAAAAAGTACCTTGAATGCAACATTTGTTAAGGCAATTCCGGCCGCACCCCCCTCCGTTACGGCGGGCCTTCTCCTCCTCCTCCTCCCTCTGATGATTGGAAACCAAAGTAGGAACCCTTTTTATCCTCAACATCATGATTTAATTCAGAACCTCCCCCAAGCACCGGATGATGGAGCAGCTAACAATCAAAGTAGTCTTCTTTTCTTGGCTAATGGCTAGTCTATCTTCTACTATTATTTGTCTAATTAACAAATACTATCCTAGTAAAGGAAGAAATTAAAGGAAAGAGGAGGAGACGTAGCGAAGACCACCACCAGCGAGGAAGAGGAGATCGGAAGGGCTACCGCCTTCGGAAGGCAAAGCACCACGTCCGCCGTGCAGCGAAGGCTTGCTCTCGGCTACACAGCCGCCCTTGCGTCGCACCGCTCGGACATGAATGAGAGACCGGTTAACTCTATGTATAGCCGTGATGTCTACAACGTGACGACCCTGGGTTTTACCCCTTTCCTCTCTTCCAGTGTATCGCCGGGATCTCCCTCCGATCAGTCAGAGGATATCAACTGTAACGAAGCTGAAAGCAAAACCAAACGCTGCGAAGAAGAAGGGCTTCTGAATTTTTTTCTTTGTCTAGGACGACAATGAAAGAGTGGTAGGGAGGGTATAAATAGATGATAAGAGGAAGGAAGGACGAGTGGTTGTCGTGGTGCCGGAGTTCAGGGACAAGGTGATGACTAGCATCCAGGGTGAAAACTGAAAAGAGTGATGGAATCCAAGAGTCTTGGATTTGAATCTAACGGTCTCAGATGGATGTACTGTTGTTACATCCTTTCAACTTTCCGCGAAATTGGTTGGTTTAGTAGGGACCAACCGTATGTACGGACGGATGAAATGGACAGAGGAAGAATCTAGTGGCTCGTGTCCACTGCCGACCGGGAGTCCGGCCGAGACAACACCAATGGCTCGTCCCTTTCTATTATAAATAAATAAATAAATAAATAATAAAGTTGCAGTAAAAATAAAAAAAAAAACAAAGAAAATTTGACTGAGCAATGAGGACCTTTTCTCTTTCTCTTTTTATTATTTTATTTTATATTATATTTTTAATTTATTTTATATTTGTGCATGATCTCATGTATTGCACATGATTGGCAATAGGAACTGTTTTTGATAACGACTAAAGAAAGTATTTGAAGGAGAATGGCTGTTCAGCCCACCCAGAATTCTTGGCATCACGGTACAGGTGGGATGAATCCCAACTGTGGATGGATGCTAAGCGGTTTATAAGGAGGTTTATTAGTAGAATATAGGGGCTGTAATTTTAGCTTTCAGCAGTGGAGTGAAATGTACTTCACCAAATATTTTATTGTTTTGTCCTTTAGTAAATAGGTAGGGAGAATAATCAATCAGCCCATGTGAATTGATGTAAAATTCAAGTGCTGGATGTGGTTTATAGGGGAGAGGGGGTTTGGAAGGAATACAAATGTAAATATGTAGTGTGTAAAACTTTATATTTTGTATTATTTTGTATGCATTTGTATTCTACATATTTATATTTGTATTCTTTCTAAATTAAGCCTAAATAGATTAAGGAAGAGTGCAAATGCCCATTGCATATACGTGTTTGCGTACTGGTTCAATTTTGCTAGTTTTTGGTAAGAATGTATTTGCTCCCAAACTTCTTTCCTTTCCTTCTTTTAACAATTAACACTTAGACGAAATGGGTAAAATGGTTAAAAAATACCATAAAAGGAAATTTTGTCATTTTGAAATTATTTAATACACACCTAATGTCATGTAACGGTGTTGACTGACAATCAACTAAAGGCAGGGGCCTATTAAACACAATTTTAAAGTTCAATGTACTACAGAAACACATTTTGAAGTTTGGGGACTGACTTGACATAACCCCTAAAGTACAGGGTACTAATCAGAAATTTTCCCTAAAAGGTATATTTGGGTCTATGAATTCATGTTTGTATCCTTTATAACTAAAAATCATTTGGCAAAAGAGTTTTTTTTTTTTTTTGCTTCAGATTTAACAAGAGAGTAAATTTATCAATGCAAAACTAAACCAACTTTACATTTGCATGAACTAGAATGCACTCTACATATTTGTATATGCACTTTACTTGTACTCTTCCCAAATGGAGCCTAAGGAGCTCAGAACCTCCTTAATAGCTTTTATTATGACCCAACCAATATGATACCCTAATGGTCCAATAAAAAAGTCGTCTTTTGTTAAGCACCCTCTTATAATTACACGTAAATACTAAGACCTACCTTATAGTTTGTATATTACTAGAACACTTTATTAAACACCCCTTCTATCAAGACTATTTGCACGTTATTTGGGAATAGTGATAATTACCTCTTAAAATAAGTGAAAAATGTGAAAAGGCATAGGTTCAAGGGTTTTTATTTAAAAAATACCCATAACAGTTCTCATATAACACACATTCAGGGGTACCTCTGAAATAAATCCTAAACTCATGCTCCTTCACATTTGCCACCCATTTTAAAAGGCCACCTGTCTAATTCTTAGACGAAAACATAAATGGTTTTTGAGAGGTGGTATTAAGTAATGTGGTCGGAAAAAAGTGTGGTGCGTAATATGCTTGGTGTTCTACAAATTGTGGTATTGTATTTTTCAGAATTTGAAAAATAATTAAATATAATAAAAAATGATTGTCAATTATAAATATTGATAACAAGTAGAGTTGAAAAGTACAGAATCAAGGATACCACAACTATTGAAGTATGGCTCACTCCAGGCCATGATATTTTACGAAATGCAAAATCCTCATGGCTTATTCTAAAACCAAACGAATTATATACAACGTTACCAAAACACCCCCAAGTAAATGTTATTAGAAAAAGATAAATATCATATTCACCCATCACATCAAGCTTTATAAAAAAAAAAAAAAAAAAAAAACTCTTTCCTCGTAGAAAACATTAAGGCCCCCAGTTTGGTTACTGAGATTAATTAAGAACCTAAAACCGGAATCAGAATCCATCATTCTAATTTCAACTGTTTGACTGCGGTAGAAGTATAGAACCTAAATCCCACTCCTATTTCTAGTGGAATGATTATTCCCTCAAAGAGAAAAATTATAGGAATAGACCATTCTGATAGATTATTGATGTTCAGTCAAGCCTCTACTTTTCTGATCATAAAATATTCATAAAATATAGGCATATATGTTAAAGATGCTAAAATAAGAGGTGTGCGTTAGCATGGGGATTGGGGGCCCAGCATGTGAAATGCTGCTTTTGATAGATACATGAAATCTGTCCCTTGTTGAACAAAAAAAAAAAAAGGAAAAATTCTGAACCAATATCCTGTATTTTGGTTTCAGCGACAATTTAGTCTCTAAATTTTAAAATGTGACAATTCAGTATTTGAACTTTCAAAATGTGACAATTCAATACTTGAAGTTTTAAAATATGACAATCTAGTACCTATCGTTAACTAGTCTGTTAATCAGCCGTATCAATGTTTGGATGGTTGATATAGAGAATTAGATGGTATTCGAAAGGCATTTTTGACTTTTCAAATACCACTTAACGGCTAATTAATGGATTGGTTAACAGCAGGTATTGGATTTTCACATTTTGAAAGTTTGAGTACTAGATTGTCACATTTTGAAAGTTCAGGTACTGCATATCGCATTTTAAAGTTCGAAGAACAAATTGTCACTTAAGCCAAAGTACAAGTACTGATCGGGAATTTTCCCAAAAATAAATCCAAGAACCTGCATAATTAATGGATGACTTTAATTTTACTTTTTATCCAAGGTTGAAGCTTGGCATAAGTAGTTGAATTCAATATTATCTTTACTCTCAGAGGAACAAATAAAGCCATATCATTACCCATGGTTCAAAGTATCACCTAACAGGGCATATGAACCATGGTTTTTAAAATCAGACTGGATCGGATGGTCAGATTGGAAAAACCAAGAATCGGTTAGGTGACTGATTCCATTGTATCTTAGAATCATTGTTTCTTCAAAAACCATTGCTTTGATTAACAAGCCGCTGACCTAGGCGGTTGAGCCATTCGAACCGTCCAATAATTTAGTCTTTTTTTATTTTTTATTTTCTTTATCAGAGCGGGCCATCAGTTCGATTCAAATGATGGGACCATTCGAAGGAGAAACCGGACCCTAACCAATTCATTATCCGATACGGTTTTAAAAACCTTGATATGAATCTTATCATATCCATGATGGGAAGCTCTTGAGTAGAGTCATTATCCGCTAGAGAACATGCATGTAATGGGATATCTCTCTTACGTACAGGGACCGAAAAAAGTACCTCATATTTCTAAATGGAGGAATGTTGTTAAGCAGCTGTAAACAATATGACTGAATCTGCTCAACTGAAAGACTTATTGCTTTATCTATTCATAAAATAATTAAAACATCATTTACTAAAATACCTCCTATACTTTGCCATAATAATTAAAATATCCCTTTAGTTTAATTAAAATACCCCTTTAAATTGCATTTTACTGGTTGCACCCCGTTTACTTATTGGTTGATCAGTTAAGAACCTTTTTTTCTTTTTTTTGGAAAAGGTCACGTGACTCTTAAATGGTGAAAGGGCATTGGCCCTTAATTTTTCACCCCTAAATTGTCCCTATCAACTACATATTATGATTTTGGCAAAAAACCATCTTCAAATTAGTTCCAGTATGCTATCTGAAAGATGTGATATCTGAAAATTTTGTGATCAATCAACAGGTGAAGTTTATCAAAATTCAGAGGCAGGTTTTGATTGATCAAAAACTCTTTGGATACCATATCTTTTCAACATCATAGATTTTCTCTCAATTAAATAATCCAGTCAGTCGCTCTCATTTCCTCCTATTTCTTTTTCTATTGGGCATCATCTGCACATCAAAGCCAGATCTAGTAAAAGCATCGTTACAGTTCCTGTTTTTTTTTTGTTTTATTTCAGCTTTGTTTTGAGTTCAGTGTAGTCATCATGGTTTTCAAATTCGGACCGGACCAGATGGTCAGACCAGAAAAACCGGGAATCGGTCACCTGATTGGTTTCATTTTCCTAAAAAGCTGGATTTTTCCCCAAAACCATTGATTTTGGTCAAAGAACTACTGAATCGGGCGATTAACCATTCGAACCGTTCAAACAGTACGGGTCGAACATTCAGTTTGAACAGTCAGGTCGTTCGACCCAATAACCAGACCCCTGACCAGTTCGATCACTAGGTTGGTTTTACCATGGTAGTCACTATTAGACCCTCCGAACCTCACTCTATTTAATATTTATAGATGGTTGTTTGTTTCTATAACAGTAGACTATTGGGACACTTTTGTCTTTCTCAATTTCTTCTACTGTTTCTCACTCCCAGGCCCAATTCCCCTCTTTAACTCTAACATTCTGCTCTTCTCCTATTCATCTATTGTTTTCTTACATAATCTCTCATCACATCACCATTTCCCACTTAATTTGTCTCCTACTTAACCACCCTCTCAACAGTCTCTCCTCTTTTTATTATCCCCTATTGAATGCTATTCTTCAATGTCTCTCCCATCATCTCTCATCTCACGACTCCCTCAAAACTTTCTCTTCTTAACACCCCGGCCGGTGACATTTTTCACTCACTTTGTCCCACCATTCCCTCTATTATTAA